GTGTGTATAAAAAAATGTACATGTTTTTGTTCTAAACACTTTCAAAATGAATATTGGGCGAAGTTTTGTGTATTGACTGTCTTCGAAATGGAATCGTTTGTTGATATCGCAAATGAAACAGCGCAGCTGACGCTTAGTTAGTTTCGCTTCTACTATTTGTATTTATAATAAATTCATTTACTGTCATACAGCATGCCCGTTCTTCTCTGGATTAGCACGCTTGGCGGCTGCAGCCGCGCCCATTCGCCTTGCCCGCCAACGATCGATGGGCGTGTAGCAGCATATGAAAAAGGGCGGCACATGCGGCGAACTGCTGGAGCTTGAGCTGCCGCTATGGCTGAGCTGCGACTCGACTGTCAGCTCCGTCTGGACGCCGCTGCTGGTCATGCGCACCTCCGCCTGATAGGGCGGCGGAGATGCGGCATGATAGTCCAGCATGGGTGCCGCCTTGCATATAACGCTCGGCGGCTCCAGTTCGTGCAGCTCAAAGCTGTCCGACCGTGTGCTCGTCGGCGTTGTGGTCGAGGGCCGGAACTCGTGCGAGCTGCTCTCGACCATGGCAGTGCGATAGGTAGCGGCAAAATAGTTTGTCTCCAGATAGTGACACGATTCGAACAAATAATCATCGAACTGCAAGCGTGTCGTACTCTCGCCAGCATGCCCCATAAAGTTGCCCTTGTGCGACTGTGTCGATGGCGAGCCCAAGGCGATGGGCAACATGGAACGAGACATGGGCATCAGCTCCAAGGAGCTGGAGCAGCCAGCAGTAGTAGGTGCAGGTGCAGGCGCAGGCGCAGCGGCAGCTGCAGAGGATCTGCTTGTGCGTTGTTGTTCTTGCTGCTGCTGCTGTTGATGTTGATGATGTTGCTGCTGCTGCTGCTGCTGCTGCTGCTGCTGCTGCTGCTGTTGCTGTCGCTGCTGTCTTTGCTTCATATCAACAATTTCTATTTCTTCTATATCACTAAAACTATTTAACTGTTTCAACAAATAATGCACATCATTTCGTTTCGTATAATCAGCGGCGTCGTGCTGCTGCTGTTGCAGCAATTGTTGCTGTTGTTGCTCTAACATTGCCGTCGTCTTAGTTTTTATTGTGTCTAGTGCTTGCAATGTTAATGGGGTGCTAACGACGGCAATGCCACGACTTGTGCTACGTGGGAGGTTGTCGATTTGTCGCAACTCGTGTTGCTGCTGTTGATGATGTTGTTGTTGCTGTTGCAGCTCTGGATAGGCCAGCGCCAGGCGTTGCTGCAGCGTTGCGCTGCTGAACGCTGACGAGGCCCGATGTGGTTCCAGTTTAGCAGACTCGAGTATACGATTGAATTTAGCTAATGCGCTAGATGCTGTTGATGAGCTGGTTGTTGTTTCTGTTTCTGTTGTTGTTGTTGTTGTTGCTGCTGCGGTGATCTTATGTCTTAGTTGTTGTTGTTTGGTTTGAGGCACTGTTGTGACGGTTTGTAGATTATCACCAACACGGCGACGCCCACTGCCCTGAGCATCGACGACATCCGCAACGTTGTCAACAATGACAACGCTTCGATCATCAGTGGATGCAGTCCTATTGTCATCCACATCATCATCATTACCATTGTCATTATCGTCGTCGTCGCAGACATCCTCATCAACATCATCAATATCAACGCCATCCTGCAGCGTTTCGGTAACATTCAAATTCAAATTCAAATGTAAACGCTGCCGCAACAGCAAACGCTGCGTCTTCGTATCGATGGGCACAGCGCCGGGTGGCGCCGGTGCCGCAACGGATGCAGTTGCTCCAATTAAACCATGTCCGGCGGCTATAACCGCCGCCGCTCGCTGCTGTGCTGTGGCCCTAGCTAAATTCTTTTGTAAAATCAACTTCCTCGACGAAATGATGTCATTATTGTCGCTCCCCCGCGATTACCGGCTGTCGCGGGTGGAGCGAGGCCGCCCCTAACTGGACGTACTGGCGATGGGCGAGACGGGTGACAGCGGACTGCGTACGGCCTGTTCGCGCGGACAGCCAGTGAGTGTGATCACCAGCTTACGGCTGCCGGCCTGATCGCGATGCTCGCACAGCCAAACGCCCTGCCAGGTGCCCAGCGAGAGTTTGCCATCGGTAATGGGGATTGTCAGTGAGCTGCCCAGAAAGCAGGCCTTCACGTGTGCGGGCTGTAAGGCAGAGATCGAATAGAATTAAAGATACCCATATATTATTTATATCATTTATATATTTGTATAGCTACCATGTCGTCGGGTCCTTCGCACGAATGCCTATAGGGCAAACCTTCGGGAACTATTTTATTCAACATCATTTCCATATCGTCTCTGTGAATCGAAATATATATTAAATATACATCTATTGAATATCTTGTGCTTGTTATGACTCACCTGACGTCTGGATCCCAGCTCTCGTTTAACGCTAAACTCGCCGAGGTGTGAAGTACTGCAAGAAAAAGAGAAATAATTGCAAATGAGACAAAGTGAATGCGGCGTCAATTAATTTGTGGTTTAACTTTGAATGCTCTGGCCAATAGGCAATTTAATAGCTAACGCTTATTAGACCATTACGTAGGCGCGCCACGCCCCAAACATACAATGCATTTCCAATTGAGCTGTAAAGCTAATTAGCCAAAATGTTTAACACGAATCGTAATCTCTGCCAGATAGCTCCAACTTTGTGGTAGATTATTAATGAGCTTAAGGCACGCCGCGAAAGCTATTTTCAATCATCTTTCATTACAAATTCCATAAAATTATATGACAAAGCAATTGTTACGGTCGTTAATTCGTAGATAGCTTATTAAAAAACAAAAGGAAAATCTTTGGCATTTTCAGTTGACTTTCATTTAAGTGCATGACGTAAAACTACATGCAAATGGAGCTTTAAGAAAATGTGGGAAATATTGAAGAATTTTAAAATATTTTTTACACATTTGTTAAATTA